CTCTCTCTCTCTCTCTCTCTCTCTCTCTCTCTCTCAATATGATAATTAATTTAAAACAGTATGAAAATACATAATATAATAATTATATAAAATTGTGTTTTTAAATCACTATTTTTAGAAAATACATTATTTAATAATTGAATAATTTAATGACTGTTGTGAGGGCATATAGAGATTGGTCAATCTAACAGTGCACTAGTCTATAAACACATGGTGCATGTGATTAATTGTAAACTTTGCAATTAACAGCTACAATATATGTCGGAATTAATTAATTATCTAATGTTTAAACCATAAAAATAAATTATTATAAAAATTAGTTTTAGTAAACTTGTGGTAAAACAAACCTTTTTCATGCCTTTGGCCAAACATTTCTCTATTCGACATTTCGGGCAATTTTTTCTTGTATTCACTGTAATAATACAATTATTGGCGCCGAGTTTACACTCTAGGTCCTTTTGGTATAGAGTAGTATTTATATATGGTAAATAATTTTATAAATTTATTTAATAATTAGTTAAACAACACTTACTCTCAAAGCATTTCGCCTAAAAAAGCATTTACACGACTCGCACGTCAGGGCATCAAAATTAAAACCTATGTTTTATAACACGATAAGTATTTATTATTAATTAGACAAGATTATTTTGTTAAGTAATATATCATTACCTATGCCTTTATCGCCGCACACAACACATAATTTATTGGTTTGATTTGTATCCATAGGGTTAACATTGAATTTATTCATCGGGTGAACAAATATTTGGGAATTTAATTCATGTATTTTATAAGTAGTTTTAACAGTCTCTAAGATATGGTTACTATGTATAAGTATAAATACAATAAAGTTTTGTATGAAAAACAACTCTGTTTTGTCGTACAGTGTATTGAGTTTGTGTAGTGAATACGAGTGCGTATAGACTCCAAGGCTATGCGGACTTGTATTGTAACATTTAGACAGGTAAACCATTAGGTTATATAATTATTATACAATTAAATAATATGGTATTAAAAAATCATTGAATTGTCTATTTTAATGTGTTTTCAACGTGTTTTTATAATGTATTATAGAATAAAGCTAAATATACATTTACTTCTACTGTATATATTTTGAGCATGTTAATTATACAGTATGTTTTCTATTCATTCGATCAAATATTAAAAATCAATCATGATTAAGTTGTTTTTTATTTTTATTTTACATTATTTGTAGTATCTTTAAATACGTCTATATTTTATTAATTTATATTAATTTTTTTATTGATATGAATTTATCAAAAATATCATAATATGGTTTTTAAATATTTTAACAATAATCTGATTTCATAATAAGTTATATTAAATTATACAACACTTTCTAACCCTGGTGATTAATACTGATAGCAATGATATAAGAAAATTTATAATAAGTTGTAGATGGTCAATTAAATGCTGATTATTAATATAAAGATTATATACGTATGAATATGGAGCCCATATTATGGACCATATCTTTAGTGTTACTGTAGAACTAAATATAAAACTTATTGTGTTATCAGTGTTAAAATTATTGTCAACAATTATCAGTGTTTTCTCGGAAATACAAGTAAATGTGATATAATATTTAAAATAAGTACTCTCTCTCTCTCTCTCTCTCTCTCTCTCTCTCTCTTACAAATAATGTAAAATAAAAATAAAAAACAACTTAATCATGATTGATTTTTAATATTTGATACTTACCGGTAATATTTATTTACATACTAATAATGGTCATAGGTATAATTAGCACGCCTAAATTGAAAATGGCTATTAATTACTATGGAAAGTATTAGCATTATTTTTATAAAAAAATAAGATACACTTTTAATTGATGTGCGATTTATTCATTTATTTAATAAATAAATTTTATTTCATAACATTAATTAATTCAGTGTTTGACTAGAGATACAGCATTAGAATAGTATAGTTAGTGGGCAAACAATATTAATTAGTTGATTGTAATATTGTATTGATTTGAGACAATACTTCTGCCCCCACTGTAGTTCACTTGACACCTGTAGAGACCGGATGTAGTTTTGTTGGCGTTATTGATGGAGATATAGCCGGGAGTCCTCTTCACGATCTTATCGATGCCTTTGATTTTATAGAAAGTCGGGTCTATATTATGAAAGTAAGACATTAATTGTGTTAATTAAGTTATCATAATACTATTGAAAATTGAAATTAATTAGTATAGTATTTAATAGTTTGCCCTTGTTATAATTAGATTGTTATAAAGAACTTAACATTAGAAATATAGATTTTACTACTAATAATTATAATTATTAATTAAAAGGTAATTATAAATGAAAATAATAATTAGTATAAATAATAAGATACATGTATATTATATTGCATGATACATACTGTTAATGGTTTGGTTGTTATAATTATAAAATATAGTATTGTTAACAATAATGGATAGACTGGAGAAGAATTCCGATTTGCGGACCAAAGTATAGTTGCATTTGAGGTCAAAATTCTTGTACACCGTTGACGTACGCCAAGCGCTGAAGTTGATGGTAGCGCACCGGTAGGCATACATACCGCACATCACTACCAAACACGACAGTAATATTGATCTCATTGTCTATTGAAGATTTGGGTTTAGTTTTTGCAATAGAAATGTGTTTTAATGAATAAGTTGTTGTTAAGAGAAGAAACGGCAACTTTTATACATTGATGAAGTAATTTTTATCGGATTTTAATCAATGTCTAAGAATTATTAGCTTTGAGATTGTCTATTGATTTATAACATAATCAAATCGTGTAGAATACAGGGTTGAACAGGGGGTGCTAGATTGTATTTGATTAATTATAGTAATTTAATTTAAGTGGTTAAACTTATGATGATCACTATTTATTAATTTGCGTTGGTTTAATTGATATTCTTATACTGAATAACTTTTTATCTATAATATGAACACGGTAGAATAACAGTTAAAATAATAGACAGCCCTGTGCATAATGAAATAATATAAGCAGTATTTAATACGTTTATTACATTCTTAATATGAAATAATTTTCTCATATAATAGGACTCATTGTATATCATATCACATTTTCCTGTATATAACTCTTTGAGGTTATTATTGCCGAGTAATGGCTCAACAAATATACAAATAATGATTATTACGTATTCACCACAAAATACATATGAAATTCCGTAAACACAGTGTTGTTCCTTGACTTTCATAATGTATTGTTGTTTAAGGTATAGGTATTGGTATTAAATAAAATTGTATGTGTTTTTTATGGGCAAATATTATCGCAAATATAACATTTAAACTTAGAGACTACACGCTAACTTTTTTCTAATGTTATTATAAAATAACAATTTAATAAAATTTATATAATTGTATAATATACATATTATGTAAGTTTAGGAACATCTAACTTTTTTTGTAAATAACATAAATGCTTTTATAATAGTATTATGTATTGAAAATACGTTTATTACATAATCGTAGTCAATCATGTTTTATTAGCTATACATGCATTACCAAGAATATCACTGTACATTATATAAACAGCAACTGAAATATTTCCCTCCCTAGTTATATCCTCTAGTTCATTTTATAATGTAAAGGTAAATTGATTGCTTAGGGAAATCAACCCTCCCTTTCAATAATGGAAAAGAAAGTAATGATATCATAAATTATATGAACACGTTGTGAGTACAACACAATTAAAACTTACTACTAGTTCTTTAATTTTTTACGAGTAAAGCAAATAATCTTGCTTGGCTTACTTCCAAGAAGGTGGACAATTTGTATATTAATAGTATTTGATATGACATCAAACAACATAGATTTCGTATCCTATTTTACCCTGGGCATTAAAATTAACTTATGGGCTAAAACCATGTTAATAAATAAAGATAAATTAATAATCATTGTAAGATTCTTTACCTAACATGCATGTTATGAATAAAGTTTTTTGTTGTCATTTTTAAATAAAATTGTCATTAATAAAAAAATGAATTCTTTGTTTTAATTTGTTTTATAAAAACAATTTAATTACATATAATTTATATGATATAAATCTAGTTTTACAACATTTATGAGTGACATGAAAATGAATTAGTTTACAAAAAAACACCTAAATAAATAATATTACATGCTTAACACTTTATTGATGAGTATTATAAACAATGTCATTGCAATGGTTGATACGCCCTGTTTAGTGAATGCCCCCGTATTAGGAGTTTTATCGCCAATTTTTTCGGTACGTATTTCATGATTGTCGTCCATCCAGACTCTAATTAATGACTTGCTTGCTAATTTTGTTGGTACTTGATTTTCATTATAATCTAGATCGCATTGATATGTACCAAATGCTAAATGGTCAACATTCTTTATGATAAAACGTCCAGGTTGTGGTTGCGTCACCATGTTCAATCGAAGAGCATTGTTTAGTTCAGGTTCTATAAGAAAA